GCCCCGCCCCAGTGTGTCACCTATGTCTATTGTAATTGATTTTATACCATGTCTCAAACGTTCCTGCATTGCACTTCTTGTGTTACCATCTTCGTGTGTGTGACTTCACCTACCTTTGTCTATCTAATTTTTAGGCTCAATCTTTACTACTGGATTCGATTGCCTAAACTGACTGATCACTCCATTTTTGGTTGTTTTTTTTGTTGTTTTTTTTGGCTGAAAGTATAGTATGTCTTTTTAACTTTGCTTCTATGTCATTTATTTTTCATCTTTGAGTCACTTGTCTGCCTTTAGCATGTCTTCTTGTTAGTATGCATTTGTCTTTTAATGCCTTATGTAGCGCTAACTGATCTTTTAAAACTGTTCATCCTAACAATGTTGCGGAAGGTTTTTTGGTCAACGTCAGCACAGGAATATTTTTGTTGTCTGTGCAACCATCCACAGAGATGTTAAAGGAGTGTGGCAAATATGCAAAATCATCTGATCGTATCATTTGTAGCTCAGGTTGCTTTCCAACTTTGTGCAGCGCGGTGGTTGTTGAGCGTAAGTCTTCCAAGACCTCTTTTCTTCACTGACTGCTGTTAACTTCTATTGATGTCATTACTGTAGCTGTCCATAGACATTATGTATCAGCTTACATGTCCAAATTAGTTTCTTACTGGAGAACAAAGAAATACAATGAAAGACACTGTTTTGTGTGTTTGCTTTTTTTTTTTTTTTTTTTTATTATTTCAATAAATATTCATGTTGCACGTCAAACTAATAGATAATTTTTGTACAGACTGGAACCATTTGACAATTATGGTGAAAGAAGCAAAGGTAACATGAGCATATCTTTTTGCTTTTTGCGTACGGGTGGTCTTCACTTAGCTAGATTTGGTCAGCTGACACTGCAAACGAACAGTATTATTCATATGTAATTGTGAATAAAGGCTTCTCTGTTGGCAGTGTGTGTCACAATAGTTCCAGGTATCCAAGGTTCTTAAACGCTCAAAGGGAGGAATTACTCAATACTTTGTACAGCTGAGTATACAAAAGCAGAAATATGCCACTAAAGGTTGGCTTTAAAATAAATGTGTATATTAATTTCTCCTAATTAAGTGTATTACTGCTGATTCTTCAGATTTAGCTTTATTAACTATAAGCAGTGCTAACACAGTTCAAAGAGAAATCTCGCTCTTTCGCCAACAGAGAACAAAGTTATAAATCTTGACCTGTCACATCTTTGTTTGTGTGATTGGAGATTCCCCCTGAGTCCTGTGCGAGAACTTTGTCACCAGGGTTTCCACTCACAATTTCTACCGAATACAAACAAAAACACTGAGTTGTTTGTTCTGTTTATGAGTGCCTTTGTGCATGTGTGTGCTTGAGTAGAGAGGCGGAGTGTGACACCGACACGACAAGAAAAGGGTCTAGGATGAGCTAGAATTCTTTAAAATTATTGTTCAAATAAAAGTTCCATTTTCTCTTTCATCTTTAAAACAATAAAGAGTCGTTCATATTTCCAGAAGGAGGAACTGGGACATCCATTTCTCCATTAGTGGGATCAGTGAGAGAGTGTCTTTGTTTTCTGAACTCAAGTGGTGTTTATTGTAATCTTCTCAAACAAACCATTTTAACACAACTCTCCTTCAAAGTTGGCTAAGGCAGGTCTAAACTCCATATCAGTTAAGGTTCAATTAAAGACGAAATACTTGAAAATCATTAGAAAAATAAAAACAATTGTTGCACATTTTTCTATTAAATTAAGTGTTTGTGTTGTTAAGAGTTATTAAAACTAGTTGTGTGTTCTTCAAGGAAACAAAAAAGATTATGATCTTCAACTTAGATCACATTAAAATATTTAGTAATTATTCATTGTTTTATTTTATTCAAGTATTATTTTGATAGGTAACAAACTCACCACATTATGTTTTGTAGTGAAAGTATTATTAGGTATTAAGAAGCCAACAGCTAATTTCACGGGAAAGAAGTCCTTCAGTTTTTCAGCATAGTGAAGTACATGAGGCATTTGTAGACTCTGAGTTCACAGATAGCAGCAAACTGTAAATACAACTGCCTGACCCTGGGCACAATGAAAAATCTCTCCCTGGGATTTCTTCCAACTGGAAGCCAGTCAAAATACTGTCAACACCTGGCATAGTAAGTTGGGAGTCTGTCTACTACAACTGTAGGGTTGAAAGAAACATTTCACAGGCAGATGAAAACATAAAAACACAGGTTATTACACCCACTTGAAAAATATATGAACTCCGTTACACTTTCCTCTGTTTTTCTATCTAGTTTGCTCTTGCTGCTGGAGACTCAGCCAGAAATATAAATTACCTGTTGTAATACTGGATAATTGGGGGACTTTCAAAAGGGGAATTTCAGCCGGTTAAAACAATGTCTATGTGCTAATTAAGAATATAAGACTAAGCCATTGTGTACAAAACGCTGAATCCAGCTATTGAAAACTTTGAACTGCCAAACTTTCATCCCACGGTCGTTGCCTAATGAAGCAGGTGTCTGTGAGGCTTAACAAGGTCTTTTGACTGACCCCCTATAGATTACGTCACACTGCAGCTCACAAATTTCACTCCAAACCACTATGCTGCACTCATGGCTCTACCAATTCCTGTAATTTATTCAAGATCAGAAGCAGGAGTAGGGTGATGACGAGGGGGAGATGCTGGTGTAGGGCAGTGTGCTTGAATATTAGTGTGGTACCCTCCCCTGCAGAGAGAAACTGTGTCATAATGCTGGACTGCTTTTATGATTCAAATCAAGGCTATTGTCTCTGTAAGCAACCAGCTCCACTCTGTGCAAAAGAACAACTGAGGTACTATACACTGGCTGCAGAAAATGAGTGCACTGCCATAGACTGAAGCGATGCTGGCTAAATTGAGAGAGCTGAAATGAGAGTGAGAGCTCAGTTCATTACGCTGGCCAAAGGCATAACAGGAATGCCTACTGTTTATTGGTCTGCTACCATGCAAACACTATTCACTGTCTTATCTACAGTTCATCAACTGTAAACACAAAAACAAACAAGTAAGTTTGCACATGATTAGACACATTATGGTCTGCTGCCATATTACAGAGACTCCATCTTAATGCACGTAATGTGGGAGTTTTACATTTTGTTGTTTATAATTTGGATGTGGAACAAATATTTGATTTGGAGTGCATGCATTTATGCATTTATATATAGTACCAGAGCACTAAACTTAATCCCAAAGTGCATCAGCCTGTCTTATGGAATACTATCAGGATGCAAAAACGGAAAAAAAAAAAAGAAAGAAAAGAAAAAGAAAACAGAGACTGTATAAAGTCCACCAGCCTCCTCATGTCTGTAAAATACAGTCCTGTGTTTGTCTAGGACCTTTAGGAGAAACAAAACTATAGATAACACACTTTCAGAAGATAGTGTTGATTTCAAAATTGAAGGGGTTATTCGCACAGTTGCAGTTGTGTAAGGTCTGTCAGTACAAAATGTCAAACATGCCAGGAAAGTTCTCTACTGTTTAGTTTTAGTCCAGACCTCATTAAACTGCTGCAAGAAGTCCTGATCATCGTTGTACTGCCTCCAATGGCTTAGTATGTAAAAAAAAAAAAAAAAAAGACAATACTACAGTTGGTGT